ATTGTGGTTGCTTAGTATTTGAACATCTTTTTAGCCGGTTTTTTTTCTTTGACCTAAAGCTCTGGAGTTTTGGGTATGATGTTCCTTGGAGTTTCCATTTTAGGTTTTTTTTATCTTCTTCTGGAGGTGGTCAGTGGATTCTTTTTATTTTCACTTTGTCCTTTCAGAGTCCTGGGCGACTTTCATTTATTTATTTCATTTATTCCATAAATATGGCATCCAAATTTTTGTTTCTGAGCATAATTTTCAGAGTCTGATAATTCTTGAGATCATCTCTCCTTGACTTGTTTTACATATCACTTGTTTTTTTTTTTTAATAATACATTTCTTTTATTTTCTTCAATGTTTTAAAATGATTCTTATTATATTCCTGGTTATTGACTTGTTTAACATATCACTTTTTAAGTAATATATTTCTTTTCTTTTCTTCAATGGTTTGAAATTATTTTTATTATAATCCTGAGTTATTGTCTTTCTGGTCCATTCTCATTTTTAGGGCATCCAGTTCTTGAGTGAAGTTTTCCATCATCTGTCTATTATAAAGTGTTAAATGTCCTTGTCATTCTTTTCCTCCCTAGGTTTCCATTCTATGCATCATCTCATTTCCTCCAGATACTCCTGTGATCCCTGTGGCTAGGGCATTTTTTCTCTGTGATTTCACTTGGATTTATAATAGAGTCACTATGATCTTTGGGGTTTACTCCCTAGGCATCTCTCACACCAAGGTATGGTCTCTATTTTCCTTTGTTTGCTCTTGCTGTGAGACCTATGCTTAGGTCAGATTCCACAACTGAATGATATGGGCAGAACCTGCTTAGGCCAGACTAGGCTTTTCTTTCAGGGGATTCTAAGGACCTGCCTGGGAGCTTCCTACTGCCATAGGGCTCCAAAACCTCTCCCCTGATGGTGCCACCTGGAGTTTTTCTCCTGTGGGATACGCTCAGTGAGTACTCCGTGCTGGCTTCCCACCAGGGCTGGATTCCACCTACAGCCTTTTTCCTACATATTGACTGGGGTCATTGTTGCCCCTCTGGATCTTGTACAGAACTCCTGAGACTATTCTCTCTGCTAGGCTAGGGCTACATTCAGGCCTTCTTGGGACTGCACTAACCTCAACCTCTGTTTCTCACAGTGTTCCCCTGGACCCTGATCACCCAGTCCCCTAAGGTTGCTCAGGTAGCCAGCCATGGTTTCAGGAAATCCTAGTACTTGTCTATCTCAGGACCTCTGCAGGCCTCAGGGAGTCCCTCTATCAATTCCTGGATTGCATGGGGGATTCTAAAGTCGATTTTTTTTTCTTTCTATGGCATCTTCTGTCCTAGCATATTTCCATAATCTTCTCAATGAGTATTTCTATAATTGATCGAATAGCTTCCCTCAAAACTATATGGCTAATGTGTGAGAGAGGAGAAATCCCACTAGCCCTCATGGAGAGGTCTCATTCTACACTTGCTTTAAGTTTTGACTTTTTCCTACTGTAGAATTGCTGATATTAGTTGAGCGTTTTGCTATTTAACGCATATAGAGGTATGACTAATTTGTTTGCCCAGCCAATGGAATTGTTATCTTCTTGACTCAGTCAGAAATGTCTTCATACCTTATAAAGGTATCATTGGAAATGGCCAAAATTTTGAAATTAAACACCTGGTTAACACCTTGTGATTACATGATGGACTTTCTAGGCAACTAGGTTAGGATTTCAATGTTGGGTATGGTGGTGGGCATGGAGGCATAGGAAAACATTTAAAGCCCCAAGGGTGTCTCCTCAGCTGAACCCCATAGTGATGGGGGGGATGAAGAGTAAGAGGGCCTTTTAGCACCTCACCCCCAGCAGTCACCTGGCCTAATATTTTTAATGATAAAAAATAAAATTTTCAAGTGGCCAAAAAAAAAGACCTTCAGATATGAAGGAAAGGAAATTCAAATTATCCAAGATTATTCTACATTCATTAGAAATCATAAGAGGGAATAAACAGAGATGGGGGAACCTGTGGCCTCAAGGCCACACATGGCCTTCTATGTCCTTGGGTGCAGCCTTTTGATTGAGTCCAAGTTTTACAGAACAAATTCTTTTATTAAGGAGATTTATTCTGTGAAGTTTGGAGTCAGTCAAAGGGCTGCACCCGAGGACCCAGAGGGCCACATGTGGCCTCGAGGCTGCAGGTTCTCCACCCCTGGTATCTTCTGAAAAGCAAAACAGTGTAAGTTGCAACCCCTGTTACTTATATTTGAAGATTTTTGTTTAGGAAGGTAATCTGGTGCTATGGAAAGAATACTCGATTTGGATTCAAATCTAGGTTCAAATCTCAGCTTTACCACTTACTACCTTTATGAGTTGGGGCAAATCATTTAACCTTTCCAGGTTTCATTATCCTCATTGGAAAAATGAGAAGATTGCACTTGATGGTTACTAAAGAGCCTTCCAGTTCTAAATCAATGATCCTTTGACCCTCTACATCACGGTTTTGACCCTTGTTGCTTCTTTGCTCTGCCTTCTACGTGGCCTTAGAACTTGAAGTTATCCTCCACTGATCCAGGAATTACTTTGGTCAAAAATCTCTGGGGTTTGGTCTTCAACTAGATGCAGTTCTTCAATTCACATGGTTTCCTGTAGGGAATTCATGGATGCGAAGGTACTTCAAGGCGCCGAATCTTGGTCAGTACCGGCCCCGGCAGCGGCGCCGCACCCCAGAGCAGGGAGTGTCTTCTCCCCAGAAATGGCTTCTGGCTTTCGGAATTACTGCAGGGCAGCGGGGAGGACACCACCTACCTCCTCCCCGCCCCCCGTGCCCACCCAGCCTCCCCGCCCCAAGTCCATCGGGGGCTCCGAATCGGCGTCCTCGCCCCCCGCCCCAGGGGTGCCCCACTCCCCAAGCTGCGGCCGGGGGGGGGGGTTGGCACTCTCCTTTTGTTTCTATGTCCTTAACTCTTTACTTCTTGAGTCCACCTGCATAATCTGCTTTTAAAAGATCAAAACTGGGGTGCAGCTAGGTGGCTCAGTGGATAGAGCACTAGCCCTGGAGTCAGGAGGACCTGAGTTCTAATCCGGCCTCAGACACATAACACTCACTAGCTGCGTGACTCTAGGCAAGTTACTTAACCCCAATTGCCTCACCAAAAAAGATCAAAACTGTGGATATATAGCTCATGTGTATGAACTATCTGTCAATCAACTCTCAGGCAGCATTACTGTTGTAGGAACAGCAATAAACCCCTAAGAACAAGATGTTTCTAACTTGCTAAGGGGTTAACATTTAAAAAATATTTTATACCTCATTGAGGAGATACTGGAGGGGCTTCCTCATTCTTCCTGGGCTCAACCCTCACAACTACATATGTAGGCAGTAATTTCACGCACTAAGCTAGTTTCTGGTGATACCCTGAATATAAAAGTGGGTACTACCTGATAATACAAAACTTTATGTCATACCTACTTCTGGATTTAGACTTCCAATTCCTCAAACTAAGTAAACGCAGATGATTTTCTTACATTTTCAACCTTACTGTGGCAGGCAGAACACTGCCTCAGCATCACAACTTTTAACAAAAACTTTTTAAAAATCTTGATTAAAACCAAATAGAACCTAAATTACATCATTATTATCAGAGGTTAAACAGATTTACTCAGTCACATAGCTAGCAAATGTCTGAGGCTGGATTTGAACTCAGGTCTTCCTGGCTCTGTGCCACTAGCTGCCAGGAAATAGATCACTTTAGAGAGTCAGCAATGGTAAAGAGCTGGCCAAGGAAACTGGGAAAACTCAGGAATCTTGGGTTCTTGTCCTATTATATAGTTAAGTCACTTAACCTATGAGTGTGCCCCAGGCAAGTATGAATATAAGTTACAGACTATTTGCAGATCTTCATTGTTGGAGGGAATTTCCACGCTGGAAGTTCCTCACACCTATAACACTACAGTTCCTGATCCTTTTTTTCCCTTATTTAAAAAAAATCACTTTAATCCAGAAGTTGGGGCCGTCCCAATTCCGTTGCATTAGTAAGGTGGCACCTCTGGAGGTTACTGATAAAGACATCCAGGAGACTGAAAGTGAGGTTTTATTTCCAAATGCAACTACAAAATCCTCCAAACCCCACCCTCTGCACAAAACCCCGCCCCCGCTCCGGGGGACCCACCCACTCTCCGTCGGCCTGTCCCTTTCCGTCTCCATAGCTCCACCCCTTCGGCCTGGCCCTTAGGATCCCCTGGACAGATCCCGAAAAGCCTTTTCCCACGGGACATGCGGGACCTGGCCCAGGCCCGGCCGGGCGGTGACGTCATCTCGGCGCTTGCGCAACAGCCCCGCCCTAGGGGCGGAGGGCGGAGAGCGGAGGGCGGGGGGCGGGGGTGCTCAGGCCGAATCCCCCCTCCGTAATAACAAGGGACGTGCTCCGAGGCCACGGCTCAATGGCTCCTCTGGCCAGGGCTGGCGCCGCCGAGGCTGCCGGAGCGGCCGCCGCCCAGGCTGCCATGGAGGTCGTAGCGGCGCAGCAGGGAGGCCGCGGCAGCCGGTGGGGTTAGTCGATGAGGAGCCGGCGGAGGCGGCGGGGGCGGCGGCGGCCAGGGATCTCCATGCGCAAGCGGCGGCGGCGGCGGGGGCGGCACCGGCGGTTTCTGCTCCCGGAGGAGGTAGGCGGAGGCGTTCCGCGGCGGGGAGCCCTCCCCTGCACCCCTGCCTCCCTCTTCGTACCGGGCGCCCCCTTTCCGGGGCCGCGTTCTGTTCCACCGTCCCTCCCTTCCCGCACTCTCCCCCCCATTTTCCTCCCCCTCCCTAACCCCCCCCCCGGCCGCGGCTTGGGGAGTGGGGCACCCCTGGGGCGGGGGGCGGGGACGCCGATTTCGAGCCCCGGATGGACTTGGGGCGGGGAGGCTGGGTGGGCACGGGGGGCGGGGAGGAGGTAGGTGGTGTCCTCCCCGCTGCCTTGCAGTAATTCCGAAAGCCAGAAGCCATTTCTGGGGAGAAGACACGCCCTGCTCTGGGGTGCGGCGCCGCTGCCGGGGCCGGGACTCGGGGTTTGGGGATCGGGAGCAGCAGGAGGCCTGGCGGAGCCCTCCTCCATCCGGCGCCTGATGCCTTTGGGTAGGAGGGGCTCCGGGGGGGGGACCGGCCGGGAGAGGATCGTGAGTTACCCCGGGGGGTGGGGAGCGCGAGGGGAGGGGGCTCTCTGGCCAGGAGCGCCCCCCACGCGGTGGCCGGCCGGGCAGAGGCCACATTTCTTATGCACCCCCCTACGTGCACGCAGCCCAAGAGCATTTGTCTCGGTTTTGTGGCGAAAAAACCCTCTTTGCGTCCAGCCTTCCTTGTTTTTACCGGCTTTGTTACACTTTCTTGGTAATAAGTTAGAGTGAAGCTTAAATGCTAAGATTGATTAAGGCCCTGACTTGATAGCATTCCTCGATTTAAGTAAATGCTTCCCCTTTCAGAGACAAACTAAAAGAGTTTTGCTTTCTTTCATATACAAAAATGATCAATTTAACTTGGCAATAACATAACTATTGCTTTATCGTTCTGTTGTTTTTTTTTCTTCATGAGGCTGTGAGTAGGCGATGCTACTCAGAAGGGGAAAAGATAAAAAGTCAGGAGTTTCCTAATGCTTTCCCAATACAGTATTAAGGAATCTTAGGCTAGTCGTTTGAAGTACACGTTCTAAATCCTTTAAAATGTAACACAGATAAAAGTTATAAGATAGACGTTATTCTCAATCTTAAACTATGTGGACACTTGATTTTTTAAAAAACTTGTTGCTCAGTAATATTGGGTCGTAGCAGGCTCTAGACTTGCCACACCCACTTATTCTTAAGTGATTGGATGCTGTTTGACTAATACTAAGGCTGAAAATATTGACTGAAAGAAGCATATACTTTGCTGTTTAAGTATAAAATCTTGAATATTTAAAAAGTCTGAAATGTCGTGCTCCAAGTCAAATACTGGTACTGAATTGTCATGCTTGGTCAAAGTTGTCTAATAACGTTAAACCTATTTATTTTACTAAAACACACAAAAGACATATCTTCGGAGCACATATTATTTAATTAGAGGTTCTAACAGTACTGGGGGTTTACACTTTGTAAAAACTCACAAAATACATGATTGCTTATTTTAAGGAAATTCTAATTTGTCATATACTCTGTCATTAAGGAATGAAGATGACAATCCCTGATTATTTTAGCCAGAAGGAAGGACCAATCGAATTTGAGTTGGAAAAAATTCTAGTTGCTAACTAATCCGAACCATACCTGAAAAAGAAGTCCTTACAATACACTGACAAGTGGCTGTCTTGCATAAAGACCTCCTGCCACTGCAGCCCATTCCCCTTTGAGATAATGTGTCAGGAAGTTTTGCAGAGGAAGTTTTCTTTCATCGAGCCAGTGTTGCCTCTTACCATCATCCACCCATTGCTCTGGGTTCCACCTTCTGTGACCAGGCAGAACATATATGATCCCTCTTCCCCTTGACAGCCCTTAAAATAGTTCCTCCCTACTTGTGGCGTACTGGAATCAGCTCCACCCTGTGGAGTCCATCGTTAAATTTTCAGTGTGAGCATTTACACCTTAGAAATGGGCAAACTACAAATAAGGACTTGGTTTAACTATTCTGTTGATTTAAGAGTATGATAGAAAAAATGTTAAAAATGCAGATTAGCTGATTGTTAAGCTCTCAGTGGGGAGACTCCATGTTCTTAGTTCCTTCAAGTAATCTTCCTGACATCAGCTCAGAGCCCTTTACCTTTCTGTTTCTCCTTCACCCCTCTCTCCCTAGTCTTTTCAATGGTCAGTGTCTTTGCTTTACTGTGATTCCCAGAATTAAGTAAGCATGGCTTAGTGGACAGAGAACTAGCTGCCGAACCAAGAAGGACCTGGGTTCAGGTCTAACAAAAAAAGAATTCCTGGGAGCTACATATTGCCTTAGAAACCACAGATTAACGTTATGTTGTATCTTTATTTTGTTAAACATTTCCCAATTACATTTAATCTCGTTCCTGTGCACTGGAGTTGGGAAGTTTTGCCTCCCTGAGTTTGACACCTCTGGTGATAGTCTGATCTAATGGTTTGGTTTTTTTTTTTCACCCTGGTGAAAAAGGACATAAGGTTCAGGCAGCTTGGCTAGGGAACAGGGACTAGATCTGTTATCTTATTGTTTAGGTCTGTCCCAGTGAGGAACTTCTCTACAAGGCAGGTCAGCACCTTCTCTTCCATGTACCAGATGAGAGAGTTGCCTTGAGCACAGAAAGATTAATATTTACTCAGGTTCACACATCCATATATGTATCAGAGGGGGGTACTTAAACCTAAGTCCCTTCTGGCTCCAAGGCTAGCTCTCTCTCCACCAGGCTATGGCATTACCATTATCTTTAAAATGTACATTTTATTGATTTCTTTTGTCACAATCGTTTTTTTATGCGGAAGACATCAACTCTCCCTCTCCTTCATATTGGAACCTATCTTGTAACGGTGAAAAACAATTGAGCAAAAATATTCGACAAAGTGATTAGTTACTGCATTTGACAAGGCATACATATTCTGTTTTAGAAGATTGCTCCTCTCTACTGTGACTGTCTCTTCTCTGGTGTTATTATTGGTTTTTTATTTGCCCAAAAGTTAGGCTTCCTTTTAGTAATACTTTCACTGACGTTTTTGTAGTCACTGTATAGTTCTTTTGGATGTCCTTATTTTGCTGTGCATCTTTCCAGCTTTCTTTGAGTTCCTGATCTGTCATTTTATTTTATGTTGTTCATGTACTATAGTTTTTGGGTTTTTTTTTTCAGCTGTTCCCAATATATAGGCACTCACATTGGCTCAATTTCCTTGCTATCACAAAAAGTGCTAATGTGGATATTTTGGTTTCTACTAGACCTTTGTTTTTGTCTGTCACTTCCTCAGGTTATATGCTCAATAATGGGGTTACCTGTTCAGAGGGTATTGATAATTTAATCACTTTTTTGTGTAATTCCAAATTGATATCCTGAAAGGTTGGACTAAATCATTGCTCTACCTTCCCTGCCAAAATGGATGATTTTTGTTGTTTGTCAACATTACTGATTTTACAGCATGAGGTGAAACCTCAGAATTATTTTAATCTGAATTTGTTATTATTAATGTTTTGAAGCATGTTTTCAAAATTTTGAAATTTTTTTTCTACATCCTTTGAATACTTACCTACTGAGGAATGGCTCTTGGTGTTAAATATTCGTGTCTGGAGGCCTCTGGGCTAATCACTTTTTTTTCCAGTTTCTAATATTTTATTTTTTTTAAATGACATGTAAAAACAATTTTTAACATTCATATTTTAAAATTTTGACATTCTCTCCCTCTTCTGTCTCCTCCCTGAGATAGCACGCAGTTTGATATAGGTTATACATGTGCAGTCATGCAAAATACATTTCTGTATTAGTCATGTTGTGAAAGAAGACACAGACAAAAAAATAAAGTAAAAAATACTGTGCTTTAATCTGTATTCAGACTCTATCAGTTATTTCTCTGGAGGCAGATAGCATTTTTCAAAGACCTTCAGGATTGTCTTGAATCTTTGTATTGCTGAGAGTAGCTAAGTCCTTCACAGTTGATCATTGTACAGTATTTCTGTTACTGTGTACAATGTTCTCCTGGTTCTCACTTCACTAATCATTTCTTAAAAGGAAAAAACAAATATAGCTAATAGGGAATGGACTTGAGAAGAGGGAGTGCTCCTTATTGACCTTGATAAGTACAAGTCACCTCGTCCATATGTGTCTGTTATATTGTTGTTCAGTCATGTCTGACTGTCATAACCCTATTTGGGATTTTCTTTGCAAAGATAACAAAGTGGTTTGCCATTTCCTTCTCTAGCTCATTTTTACGGATGAGAAAACTGAGGCAAATAGGTAACCCTGGGTCACACAGCTAATGTATCTTTCCGAATATTAATGTCTCCATTATAAATCTTTAATATGAGCTTTTAACAGTGGTATTTGATGTATATATTTTCTATCTTACAACTTTTTATTTGTACGAAAGTTAATTTTTTATTATTTTTTTTACATAATCAAGATTGTCTGCTTTGTCTTTCATGCTCTCTTCTAGCCTTTGTTTGGTCAAGAATTCTCTCCTTAGCCAAAATTGTGAAAAATACTTGATCCTAGTCTCTCTTAAATTGCAGTTTGCATGTGCATTTGGAGCATTTTGTTGTATTTGGTGTAAAATGTTGGTCTGACCCTAGTTTCTTTCAAATTGCTTGATGGATTTCTCAGCAGTTATTATGGCATGATCTGTTCTTGATGAAGCCATGCCAACCATTTGTGAACACCATTCCCTTTTCTGGGTGTGCACTAATCACCACATTTTAGATTTTTACCAGGAACTAAAGTCAAGCTCACTAACCTCTTGTTTGTAGACCTTATTCACTTCCTTTTTTGAAGATGGAGACATTCTGCAGTTTTTCACTTCTTCAGTATCTCTTCAAGAGTGTGGTTCTGGCAGATAGTTTTAAGGTACCACCTAAGATGTAGTTCACATGGGTTAGGTGATGTGGACTTCTCAAGGCCAGTGAGAAGTACTCCCTCACTGTCTCTCTCAAGTACATTCCCTCTTAACTATATTCGTTTTGTCCTGTAAGAAAAAATTAGAGCTTCTTGGGGCGGAACCAAGATGGCAGAGTAGAAGCAGTGACTTGTTTGAACTCTCCCTCAAACCCCTCCAAATACTGTAAAAAATGGCTCTAAACACATTCTGGAGCAGCGGAACCCACAAATAGACAGAGTGAAACAACTTTCCAGGTGAAGACAGCCAGGCTGGGGGAGGAGCATGGTTCAGTGTGGGCAGTGCCCACAAAGACTTAGCTTCAGCAAACATGGAGCAGGCCTCAGGGGACTGAATCACAGACAGCTGTGGTGGTTTCCAGACTTCTCAACTCACAAACGCAAAAGACAGCTTAGAAGGTCAGTAGGAAAGGTCTGTCGGACCTGTGTGAGAGAGGAGCTGGATTTGGCCCTAGTCCTGACATAGCCCCGGGGCAGTGACTGTTCCAGAACTCTCAGCCCACAGATGGAGGGGGGATCGAGTGGCTGATCAGAGGGGGATTACAGGGATCTCTTTGCTGATGCT